GTGTGTGCTGGGACTTGCACAGAAATTCCTCTTGAAATTCACACCGAGAAAACTGAAACATCTTCCAAGATGTTTGCTTGGAGCTGCAATAACAGGGTATTCTCATAGAATCATGGAATCACCAAATGATTTGGACTGGAAGGGACCTTAAGCCCATCTCATTCCACCTATGGCAGGGACACCTTCCAGCAGACCAGGCTGCTCCAATCCCCATCCAGTGTCTTCCCCTGGCATGTTTCTCCTCAGGTGTTTCCAGGGCTTTCCCTGCCCCTGTGCCAGGCTTTGCCCCCAGCATGGGGTGCAGCAGGATAGGGTTTCCCCTCATTTCACACAGCTCTGCTCCCCCCTTGCCCCACCAGCTGTGGGACTTCCTTCATAAATGTCCATGGATACAGAACTGTATTCACAAGCACATAATTACCAAGCTGGGTATTTTCTCCTCTTAATTAGCAATGCCGTGGTGCTTTAATTGCTCGATTAAAGTTGCCCACAAGGAAGTTTTAAGGTACATTAAATCTGCTGATTGGTTCATCAGCATGAATCCCACCAACTGGAAAAAATTAACTGGCTTCCAGATTGCTAACCAGACTTTCCAGATCCATTTCCACCAGCTGTGTACCACAGGAGGCACGAGAGAGCTCAGCAGTCCTTCATCTATTCCCACCTCTCCTTCATTTTGGGGGCTGGAAGGGAGAGGGTCCCAGCAGTGGCAATGTCCCTCTCTTCTCTTGTCCAGAGGAAAAAGGCCATTTTCTTGCTGAAGCAGAGCTGGGTAAAATCTAACCCAGGGCCAGATCCTCATTCAGCCACACACAGCAGACCTGTGTTTGGTCGCTGTTGTCACTCAGGCTACAAACACCCATCCTCATATACAAATGGGCTGCTGGAGCAGGAATTAGGAATTGCTCAGTTCCTGCTCCCTCACCACCATTTTCCATCTAAAGGGAACAGCCAAACTGAAGGTCCCAAGAACAGAGGGAAAGCAGCCAGAGCAACCAGAACACCCAGAGGATAAGATGCCTGTTTCCAAACTTCAGAGAGAAATGTCTGAACGTCTCCTAAAAGCCATGGATATTCAACAAAGAAGCTCTTTGGAAGTGGCATTTCTGCCAAAGGCTCATCCACCCACTCTGACAACAGGAAAGAGGGCCTGCCCTGTTTTGCACTGGATTATTAACAAAAACCCTTCCTGGGAGATTCTGTGCTCCTGGGATTCCCCATGGCTGGATGCTGGATGGGTTTGTGTCAACTCCCAGAGAGCAGCACCATGATCTGTAGCCATGGCACTGCTGCTGATGCTGCAAACAAACTCCCTCTGTGTGTACAACCTGTGAGCAGCTGAACAGATTTTAGCCCAACTTGAAGTTTTGCTCACTGATAGCTGGTAAGAGATGCAGCCCAAAAATTAATTCAGACTTGACTCAAAAGGGGGACCCTGATGCAAGGACCATGGATTTACATGGTCCAAGGACCAAGGTCTATCCACCAAGGACCGCCACCAAAACCCAAGGTCTTGGTGGCTCAGGAGCCTGACAGACTTCCCCAAAGAGGGGCTGACCACGGCTGGTAGGAGGGATGTGGTTGAAGAGCCACTGCCCCCACCTGCCTGACCCTCCATGTGCACCTCTCCATCCATCCACACACAGGACAGGGTACTCATGGCCCAGCTCTCAGGCTTTGGGGAGGTGGATTACGTGCCCTTCCCTGCCCACAGAAGCACAACCAGGCTCCCCTTTCCCATCCCTCTAATTGCACTGACCTTATTGAAATGGGTATCTATTTGTCCTGCACAGCAGCTGCATATCAATAAGGTGAATTATGCTGATTGTCTCCTTATCTGATAAATTGCTGGGACAGATCCCTTTCCCTCCTGCTCTTGCTTATTCTGCTGTTTAGGCAGAGCAGTTGCTATTTGCTGTGTGTAAGAGATGTTAATGTGTCGTGTGTAGACTGCTGCATTTCAAGGAGGAAAGAGCAGTCCAAGGCTGTGGGTTAGGGGGTGAGGGAAGAAAAGTCCTTCAGAACCTTGAAAACAGAGGGAAAAAGAAGTGGGTTGTGCTGTGCCAGGAGGAGTTTTATCCTTGGGGTGGCACAAGATGCTGTGGGACTAAATGCTGAGAATGTTAGGAGCTGGCAGACCCCAGGATGTCATCAACAGATGTAGGAATTCCGGCTCAAGTCCCATTTCTGTCCAGTAAAGTACTGTAGCACATGTGCCTCATCCCATCTGGAGAAGGGGGTTCTCTGGAGAGGAATCTGGCAGAGGCATTAGGCACAGATATGGGGACAAATGTCTGGTGTGTGGGGGCTGTGACACATTCAATGCCAAGCCAGCTGGCACCCTCAGATGATCCTGATCCCAGTGCCCCGGGCTGAGATCTGGCCCCCTCAATCCCATGGAAACTGCCCCTCACCTCCTTATGGCAAACAGCAGGACATCAAAGCAAGGCTAAATGTGGATCCTGCTGAGATGAGTGCAGGAGTCAGAGACCCCAGCCACCATCCCCCTGCCCCAGAAAAGGTCAACAAAGGATCCAACATGACAGATGTCAGCAAAGCCCCATCCCTGCAAGACCAGGCTGGACAGGGCTTGGAGCAACCTGGTCAAGTGGTAGATGTTCCTGCCCATGGCAGACGGTGGAATAGGATAAGCTTTAAGATCCCTTTCAACCCAAACCAGTCTGGGATTCTACAACTCTGTGATGGGGATGAGAGGCAAAGAAGTTCCCGATGTTCCTACACATCTTTCACCATGTCTCACCTCACCCCTTCCTTCCCAGGTCTGTGGCACTGTCTTACTTCTCCTCTGAAGGGCTGGGAACAGCCCTGGCTATGGTCTGGTTTCCTGAGCTGTCTTCCATCACTCTGGCAGGTCCTTAGGAAAATGAATGTTAAAGAGGAGGGGAAGAAACCTCCACTGTTCAAATATCTTTAGCTTTGACAAATAAGGCGTCCGGCTGTGAAAGGCAGAAGGAAATTAATTTGGAATCATATTTTAAACACTGCCATAGAGGCAAAATATCTTCTCTAATTTCTCCCCCTCCACACCTCCTCTCCCCAAGCAAAAAATGAATTTCCCTGATATTTATAGAAAGATTATTAGGGCCACAAGGAGTGATTTATACCATCTCATCCCTGTGACCGAGAATGAAAAATTGCTGGGGCGACAGCCACTAGAATCCTGCTTTTGTCTGCCTGACAATTAAAACGGCTAATTTCCAACTCCAACAGATCCACTGGGCTTATAAATCATCCCCGAAAGGCACTTTTCAGCCTGAAAAATGAACTCTGCCCCAGTCAGACACAAGATCAGAGATTTGCATCTGTTTGCCTTCATGTGTAAATATATGTCCTGCTGCCCCACCAAAGGGGATGCAGGAAAGGAGGTGCTGCCCCTGTGATGTCAGTTCATCAAACTGTGCTGGAGCCAGAAAAACAGAACAGGGAAGGCAGGAGGGTGAGACAACACTGAGGTCAGAGAAAGTCCAGTGACATTTCTGTCCTGTTTCTGATGCCACAAGGCTTGGAGAGTTTTACCAGAGAACATTGCTGGGTCTGAGTCCATCTGTGGGGTCACCTGGGGACACATGCTGGACCACCCTTCCTCTGGTGCCATGCCTGTGGTAGGAGCAATCCCACCAGAAATGGGCAGGAGGGCAGAGAAGGGGCTCTGCCACAGCTTCACTGCCAGGAGAGAGCAAACCTATCCAAGGAATCACGTGAAAATGAGTCAGGCAGAGCCCAGCACCAATGCCACAGCCTTGCTCAGCCTCCTACCTTTGGGGTGGGGATGTCCTGGGGCAGAGTGTGCAGTACAGGACTGCTGGAGGGGAGTATTGGGAAGGGCTGTTTGTCTGTCTGAGCCAACTTGCAGTTCCTTGTAGTGGTGGGGCTGGCACAGCCAGCCAGGAGGCCCATGCCAGTGCCCCCTCCTGCAGCAGCACATGCCTGGCCCCACATACATCTTGCACCCACTCTTTAACATGATGGAAGACCTTTTCTGAGTTATTCGATCTATCCCAGGACAACTTTCAAATTGACTGTCACAGACAGGAGGAGTTTCAGATAAAAGCATTTATTCTGCCCATCCTTCCCAGTCTGTAACTGGAGACCTGGGTCCCAGCAGCCCCTGGATCCATTCCAGTCTGGTGTCGGACGTCCTAACCTTGAGTCAAGCCTCCCTAAGACAAACGCTCCACTTGACGTTACCACGAAACTCAAACAAAGGCCCCGCACTCATATTTGTGCTGCTCCCCCTCAACACATCCCATGAAGAAACAGAGAGCAAACAAATCTGTGTGGAGGGCTCTCTCGGGGAGCCCGTGCTCTGTATACACACATCCCTGTGCCTGCTGCTGGTCACCCCACTTCCTTATCACAGTTTGTTCAGTCGGCAGCTCGAAGCTGCCCAGTGGCACTGAGGGTCCCTGGGAAGCCTCCCCACAGCCCTGGATGAGGGGCTCTGCAGCAACCCCGGGAGGTGAGTGATGGAGGCAATGACCTTGTTCCATGAAAGCTCAGTGTTTTCCTTTTTTATTTTCCCCCTTTTAAACCCATTCCAGCAGTGGGTGTTTTGGAGCGGCCAAGTAGTGCCCTGCTGGAGAACACCAGAGATATCAGCACCAGTCAGAGCTGCTGGGGGCTGGGGGCTGATCCAGCTGAGCTGGGATCTCTGGCCAGTGGTCCATGGTACAGAAAGATGGAACCAGAGCAGCCCCTGTCCTGATGCCAGCCAGTCCCTATCCCAAAGCCCTGCCCTGTGCACCAGGACCTGTCGGAGCCACAGGAACTCCCAGGGAGTTTGTCAGTCATACCAGCCACATATTTTGAAAGCATGAAGCCAGCCAGCAAAGGCATGGACAGCCTTTGGCCTCCACAGAGACTGGTTGTCCCAGTTTCTGTGAGCAGGCTTCTGTCTTCAGCCCTTCCCCAAAGAGGCAAGAGCCCCTTGCAGCCACCCCTTCCCTTGCAGGCACTGCAGGCACGAAGTAGGCACTCACCCATGCAGGAATCCCGCTGCTCTTCATAACCAGCACTGCACACGCACTTCCCGATGGGCACCAACCACTCTCCCTCGGCACTGCAGTACATTTTGGGGGTGTCCCTCTCTTCCGAATGGCCCACGCACTCCCCCCGCACTTCCACCAAGGAGGACGAGTCTGCCCCGGTCACAGCCTCGGAGAAGGACGCCAAGTTCCTCACTGTAGCCGGGCACTTCTTGTAGTACACTCGCACCGAGACAATGGCAATGCAGGCACCTATGTCCTGGAAGGCCAGGTAGAAGCCCCTCTTGCTCAGTGGCCCCACGCCCCGCACCTCTGTGTTCAGCTTCAGGCGCCGCACGCCCAGGTCCACATTGGTGAAGCTCTCATCTGCCGCGATTGTGTCAATCTTCAGGAACTGGCTCTCCCGGGTGCTGGTGCCCAGGTCCCGGTCAGACTCCATGTAGTAGAGGTTGAAGGTCTCCTTGCAGGTGCCCAGCACACCTGGCATGCTGTTACAGTCCCTCAGCGTGAATTTGATCTCTGCATAGACCCGCCGCGCTCCGTCCCGCTGGACCCAGTTGGTCCGGAGCCAGTTGTTCTGATTGGGGGTCATGACGTTACAGACCTGGTAGGTGTGGATGGGGCTGAAAAACTCATCCATTTCATTGATTGAATCCCACTGTAGGACAGAGAAAACAGGTCATTCCAGATGTTCCCAACCCCTGGGGCAGCAGGGAGCATGCAGGAGTGTGTGACATCTCCCACCCCTCTGCTCCTGTGTTTGGATGGGAGGTCACTGCTGCCACAGGGCAAAGGGAAATGAGGAGCACTCGTTAGCTGCACTAATTTGGGCAGTGGCCCAGTGGGAGGTGCAGCCCTGCTTGAAGAAAGGAACACTAGCTGAGGTCCTGGCAGAAGCTGATGGCAATGTGTGTTTGGCAGGGCTCCAAACCCTCCTGGTCATGTCTGCGAGTCCCTTTTCTTGGTGCTGTCATTTCCAGCAGCAGCAGGAACCACCTGCATTGTGCTCACCTGGATCTCTGCTAGCTCATACACTGTCCATGAACAAACTAAACTGGTGTTTTCCATCTGGAGAAGGAGTTTCAGGGTGGGTACCAGAGGGTGAAGGGGAAGCATGTACTGAGCACAGGACTGTCAGCAAGAAATGTGGACTCATGGCGGCTCAGAGGTCTCTTCTTCCTTTCAAGGTGGTGCCAGTGTGGCTCCTCAGTGTGAGCCCACAGTGCCCAACCCAGCTGAGAGGCTGGATCAGGGCTGGCTCTGGGAACTGGGACATTCATGGCTTGACAGCTCAGGGGTGAAAATTCCATATACCCGTGGCTGCTGGGCAAACCTGGGGAGGAGATACTGGCAAAAGCAGGTTGCAGCAAGCTGGATTACAATGGAGGGTGGTCTGGATGAGTTTAGAGGGACAGGGACATCACACAAGGGAGGGATGCTAAGTGGGTTTAAGTGATAGGAAGTGAGAAGAAGTAGTGATATTTTGGATATGAGTTCCATAGTTGAAGAACAAGTAGAACTTAGCTGTTGGGAGCTACATGACACTTCTGGGGGCTCAGTCTTGCCTCGTGTCTCCCTCTCCATTCTCACCAAATGCCTCACCAGGACACAGACTTTTCACTGCACTGGGGGCTTCTCACCACCTCTTTAGCTCACATTTCTGCACAAACCAGGTACTCCAATCACACCTCCACTGATGGGTCTGGGACCCCTGAATTCTTAGGAGAGAAGGGGAGGAGAAAGAGGAGCAGAGGAGAACTTCAAACCATGTGGCTTTTCCCCAAACTTAGAAAGAGGCTTTGAAGTCCCACCCCCATGCCCAAGTCCAGCTGTAAGGGACAGCCTCAGATGCAATGCTGCAGAAACTGGGGAATGCACTGGCACTCCTGCTCCTTTGCCTTCCAAATGATCACCACCTTTCTTCCCCCAGCCTCAGCATCCCCCTCCAGCACCTTCCTGGGGTCCTGGCTCTGCCTGGAAGCTGGCAGGGAGCAGGCCCCCACCTCAGCACCTGTGTGTACCCAGCTGTCTGTGGGGGTTGGGGGAGCCAAGTAAATCCCCAGCCATGCTGCACAGAGCAGGAAAACAAATCTTTTAGTTGGCATTATAAGTACTTTAAAATAAACCTCTAGGCTTGTTCTGACAGGGCAAAAATGGTGTTTTCTTATGCAAGTGGTGACTTGTGTTTCATTAGACACAGAACAGCAGTCCCAAGAGAAGGATGATCAGCTCAAAGGAGGTGAGCCTGCAGCCTTCACCCCAGTGATGTGGGAGCTGGCAAGAGTGCAGATCCCTGGGACAGGCACCCGCCAGCCTCTCTGTGTGACTGCCAGCAGTGCAGGGACAGGGCACAGCTAGGAGAGGGCAGCACGCCTCCAGAGCATAAGAGATACAGGAAAGAGGTATCAGTGATACCTGTAAAACAGTCCACTCCCTTCTCACCTCTCAGATGGGAATGTCCTTCCTTGTTTGACCTCCCTGACCTGTTACTTCTGGAGAGGTGTTGTCGTGCCTTCTGCTTGTGTGATGGTGATCAGAGCAATCACTGCAGTCATGTACATCTTCAGTTTTCTCCAGCATCTCCAGCTTTCTCCTGCATTTAGGAGAAAACTCTGCTTCTCTGTCCTAAAGAGCTTAAGGGAACCTGGAAAAGGCAGCAGCTCCAGGTGCAAACTACAATGGAAGCTCATTTTAAGGGGAATATGCTTGCAAAGGAGGTCAAAATCAAACCATTCCCAGAGAATAAAAATGTTTTGGGATGCATTTTAAAAAATTGTCTTCTGAATTCCCAGAAATGCCCAGGTTCCTGCTGGGATCACTGGAAACATGTCCTGCACTCCAGTACTCAGGTGGACAACCTGGAAAGGGGCCAGGCTACAGGTGTGCTTGGCCGGAGGGAGGAGGGCAGCAGCCCTCAGCTTCCCACGCGCAGGGACCAGCCTGTCAAAGGTGCTGGGACAGCCAGGACTCTGCCCTGCTGCTCGATCGGGGGCACAGGGTGCTGAAGCGTGTGCAGCAGCAGGCTGGCGCAGCCCCAGCAGCGCTGCAGAGCAGAGGAGCTCCCTGCTCCCACACCACTGTGCTCAGGCTGCTGCGGTGCTTACAACGGGGTGGAAGTCACTGTCGAAATTAATTGAGCACAAATTAACGCAACATCTGTTTCCTGTCTTTTCCCTGCTGAGTTTCCCGCGGGAAGTGAAGCAGAGCTGTGCACGGGAGGAGATGCAGGGTGTGAGGGTAGAGCTGTGGGGGTGAGCAGGGATGTCCCCCACAATGCACAGCCATCTCCCCTCGGCACTGCCTGCGCAGTCAGGGCTCTCTACGAGGGTCTGGCAAGGGAAAGATGAGGTTATTGTGCGCACCAAAATGCTTTGGCTCCAGCTCATCTGGTTGGTCTCCAGACATTCACTTCTCTCCCAAATCTGACAGAGGAGATGGAGCTCACTGCTGCCACGTCCCCACATGCCTGTGGCAGTCCCAGAGCTGGCAGCATCCTCCCTGCAGACAGAGCAGGAGATAAATGCCCACCTCCAAGTACCAGCAACAGTTGGTATCAGCCACACCTCCACCCTCTGGGGTGAATTTGGAGAGTCTGCATATGCACCATCACTCTTTCAAACGTAGTGCTGTTTTGCACAGCAGCTGCACTATCAGCTCTGTCCCAAGGGCACTTGGGATCCCAGTCTGAGACCAGCCCAAAATACCACACTTGGCCTGCAGGGAAAGTGCTCTAAGAATGGGGCAGGCAGGCTACCTGAGCTTGTGGCTCAGATGTGATAGATTCATCTTCCCATCGTGTCACAGGGCAACCAAGGTCCCATAGGCCCTGCCAGGTTCCAGGAGGTACAGGGCCTTTGGGATAATAGAATCTGAGAAATGATTTGGATTGGAAGTGACCATCTTGTTCCAACCCCCTGCCATGGGCAGGGACACCTTCCACTGTCCCAGGCTGCTCCAAGCCCCATCCAGCTTGGCCTTGAGCACTTCCAGGGATGGGGCAGCCACAGCTGCTCTGGGCAACCTGTGCCAGGGCACCCTCATAGGGAAGAATTTTTTCCTAATATCCAATCCAATATACCCTCTCTCAGCTTAAAGCCATTATTCCTTATTCTATCACCGCTTAACCTTGCAAAAAGTCCCTCTCCAACCTTCCTGTAGGCCCTTTTAGGTACCAGAAGGGAGATGGAAGGACCTGCTTCAGGAATTCCCATGACTGGAGGGTTTTTTTTGTTTCACCTTAGTTCCAGGCTCTGTGGGCAGGAGGGGACCTCTGTGACACTGGGTACCACTGGTTCAAGAACACAGGCACCATGCACGACGCAGGCACTGCTGGCTCTCAGTTCATGGGCTGAAGTGGTTTTATGAACCAAAGCTCAGCTCGGCCCCACCAGTGTGATAAGATCCCCCAGTGAGATGGGAATGAGGACATCATAATTAACGTGGTGAGCGCACGCGCTGGGGGATGATGTGATTGCATCTGCATTCAGGAGTTTGCCTAATAGTTTAAATTAAAGTCAACACCAGTTATAAAATATTTGCCAGATTATGAAAGGCAAGAGATGCAAACACCAGATATTTGGGCAGCTGAGTAAGGTCTTATAAGTCTCCCAGGGCCTGTGTGGCACAGCAGAGGAGAAGGAGGAGGAGCAGAGGAGAGACTGTGTCCCCCTGGGGCAGCAGCTCAGCCTCCCTCCATCCTTACAGTGCAAAGGAATGAGTGTTCCCAGCCCTGGGACAGCTTCCAGGAGGGAATGCCAGGTCTGCCTGGCATAGCAAAGCTTTTGTGGCCACTGAGACATCCAGCACTTTCCTTCCCAGCATGCCATGGCACCTCCTTATGCCATTGTCACTGGGAGAGGAAAAAAGAGAAGGCTGTTATTGAAGCTATAAATCATTAGATGGGAGGCCTTAATGGAGATAATCCCCAAGAAATCAGTCACTGCTGTGCCTAAGGAGGGATTTGTCAGGCAGTTAACTACCCTGAGCCTCACTGCAGGTGATTAACTACTGGTAGTGACCAGCATCTGGGGAATTAGCAATAACCCAGGATTTACTGAACAAGCACTGGGAGATGAGCTTTTATCTCAATTACCAGTCTAAATCTTTATTTTCCAATGTTCCCTTCCTACATTTTTTTTTCCTTTCCCCAAAGAAAATTAATTTCACCACAGCTTGAGCTGTAACTTGCTGGTACTTCTGGATCCAGGTAGAGGCTCTAGCTTGGAAGAGAAACCCAAGAAATACACCAGGGACATAAGAGTGAGGGAGAGCACAGACATGGCCTAGGCACATGGGAGAGCCCCAATATCTCTTGGTGCTCTGAGAAGAAGAGATGAACCTGGAGGGGGGTGGAATAGCAAGGACACAGCACAGCCCAGACTGGGGATGGGATTTTATGGAGTGAGCTTGGGGCAGAGGGAGACCCTGCTCCCTGACAGATGAGGCTCATCCCAGCCATGAACTGGCTGTTGGCTGCAGGATCAGACCCAGGCAAAAAAAGTCCCCTGGTGTGTAGGCATGGCACTGTGAATAGCTCAGTCCCAGGGCTGAAATCCCCATTCTTAATGCACAAATACTGCTGGGAGACCATCCTGTGGCCGTGTCTGTGCTTTCAGCTGGGGGTTCCAGCAGATCTGGTGCCTTTCTGACAGTGTTCTCTCTGGGTACTGTAGGACGAAGGAGGAGCACCCTTGGCTAACTGTGCCCAGGGGCCTCAGGATACATCCCTTTCTGAGGAGCAAAGGGGCAGGGATGGGGAGCTCCAAACCCCTCTGAAGTTCATTCCTGATTCCACCAACAAAGCCAACATGGAGCATGCTAGGTGGGATTTCTGGGGATTGTACAGGGCCAGGAGTTGGACTTGATGACCCTTGTGGCTCCTTCCAATTCAGGACAGTCCATGACTCTGTGATAGATGTTGGGGCAGCTGCCTGGGTGACAATGCCCAGCAGCTCTCTGGGCTGACCCCAGCCCCTGCAGCAAGAGGGAAACTGTGGGGCTACCACAGAAGGTGCTGCTGGGGGTGGATGGGGAGTCATGGGCAGCATGGTGGGCCTTCCTCCAGCACTCAAGGTGCTCCCATTCTAATTAGCTTTTGCAAGGCATCATTCAAGCTCCTTGGATACCCTGTGTCTGAACAAAATAATTTCCTGTTTGACTTTGTAAATCAAAGTAGACGATACAATAATTATTAATAATATGTTGACTTATCTCATCAGTGTTTTAATTAGTCAGTAGAAAGGCAATTTGCAAAGGGGCTGATCAGGCTCCCTCTGATCCAGCAGGCCATGTGCCAAGCAAGGAAAAGGGAGAGAAGGGCACTGGGGCACTGGGGCGTTTTGCTGGGGAGAACTGGGATACAGGAGGCATGGCAAGGGAAGGAATTGACCACACTGATAAGAGTTTAATTTTCAATGCAAAGGGAATTGTTCTGGGAAAGGAGCAAACTGCAAAGCTCCTGGGAGCCCTTTGAAGTTATAATTGAGAGGAACCGCAGCCTGCGGGACAGGGATGCTCCCGGTGACCCTTCTGCTTCCTGCACGTGTCTCTGGGGTGGAGGTGAGGGGGGGGATGCAATTAAACCCCTGAGCAGCAATTACAGTCAATTACCCCTCAGTTAATTGTCTGTCAAGAGAAAATGTCAAAACAGGCCAGGCATGGCTCCCTGATGGCCTGACACTCCCCAGGGACCACGGCACTGCTGACCCTCACTGTGCCCATTGCTCCCAGCTCCTGCTCCTCTGCTCTTGCTGGCCGTGGCAAACCCAGAGAGGGAAGTAACCTTCCAGTGAGGCAAGCTCACCTTGCCCACAGGTGAATGAAAACATCAGGACTTTGCAAGTGGTACCTCTCCAGTTTTGCCTTGGCTGTGCAGGTAGCTCTAGGATCTCCCAGTCAGAGGAAGAAGCCTCTGAAGCTGCTGCCTTTCCTCTGGATCCCCAGGTGTGACAGGACCTGCAGGTGCCACATGGCAAGACACAGGGCACTAGGCAGTGAGCTAGCAGACACAAGTCCTCTTCTGGAGCTCCTCAGGCTGGGGACCAAGGCTCTGTGCTGCTTAGTGCCATGAAAAGACCCAGGTCGAGCTACCCACCTCCCACTGTCTGTCACCCATGTGGTGGCCCTGGGGGAATGGAGATGTGGGTAAAGCAAAACGAACATGACTTCAGCCAGCAATGCTGTCCCTGGGCAGGAGGATGCTGTCTGTGCCTGTCCACGGATGGAGCAGACGCTGTGGGGAAATCCTGCACTGTGGCCCAGGCAGCACAGCTGGGAGGTAGCAGGAATGGGGGGCACTGCCACCAATCTTTCAGCTAGAGTATCTAAATTAAGGAAATGGCAGCAAAAATAAACTACCTCAGTGAAAATCTGACTTCACAGTACAGTGCCTCTATACAACCCCAGCCCAGGCCTTCCAAAGCTATGGCACGGGGCAGTGGGCAGGGACAGCCCCAGGGACACCCAAAGCACGGGGCACAGATGGTGACCAGCAAAGGGAGCTCCTTTCTTAGTGCAGGGCTCACACCAGATCTCCTCCACCTAAGCCTGCACTGCTCTGTAGGGGCTGCTTGGGAGGCATCTGCTCAGAGCCAAAGCATTGGCACTGACAGCAAGCATTCTACACCAGCTTCCCTGAGACACCAGCACCATAATGCATCTCCTGGGGACAGCAAACAGATCTGAGGGCAAATTGCCTACTCAGAAAGGAGGTGAAGGACCAGCATGGAGGGGAAGGAATGACATGTGCTTTCCAGATCAGTGATACAATGGCCCATGGAGGAAGAACCATGGTCCAGACAAGTGTTTAGAGGAGCCATTAAAACATCCAGCTGGAAAAAGATATGCAAAGTTGAGGGGTTTGAAGACAGTTTCCACACAGGTATGTGGTCATCCTGTCGATAACAGGGCCACAATTTGGGCAAAAGCACAGAGTAAGTGCACAATGGAGTTATTCCACGACTGACTAAGGTCCTGTAGGACTCAGCAGCATGGACAAGAGGTGGCTCTGGTGTTGGGTGTTACACAGCAATTAATTTTGTGAGCCTTTTTGGTTTTCTTTTACTTTTTTGGCATCCAGTATTACAATTTTGTTTTATTCCTTGTTGTATTTATTTACTCTTTTTAAAAGAGTAAATACTTACTGTAAAAGAGAGAGTAAAAGTACTTACTCTTTTATTTCATTTATTATATAGATTATTCATTATATTATTATTTATTTTTAATAAACATCACCAATAAGATGTAGAATTCAGATGTACTAGTGTTCAAGAGCTGCTGGTGAAGGACTGCTGGGCATCTGCTGTAGAGAGCCCTAAGATTCAGCCCCAGCCCCTGTGTCACCTGACAGTCACAGCTGACAGTCCAAATGGCTTGGGGCTCTGGATTCATCCCTGGATTTGTCAATGGCCAGCACAGGATGCTGCACCTTAGCTGGCCAAGGAAGTCCCTGGTGTGGTGAGAATGAGGCTCCTGTAGGCTCAATCCTTTTGCTGCTTTGGGAGTGCAAGGCCCTGCCCTGCACAGCCAGCTCAGGTGGATTCATCCTCACCCAAATCACCTCAATGATGCAATGGATCCCATCTGCATTCCTGACAGGGACCAAGGGCCTGGGCACAGGGTCATCCAGAAGGATAATCTGCGAGCAGCAGATGGTCTGACTATGGGGAGGAATTGCCTAGGGAGGGATTAAGGACAGAACACTGGATGTGGACAATGGAAAACAGCCCTGTCTCCCAGAAAATCCCAGAAACATTCTCCCTTGCAGGGGAGCAGAGGAAGCCCTGAATGTGTGTCAGACTCCTCCAGGATGCCACAGTCTGGCAGCAGGGCTGGGATGAGATGACAGCTGATTAGTGACAGGACAGCAGTGACAGCCAAGGGCAGCCATGAGGAGGACAGCACCTGCCTCATCCAGGCAGAGGCAGAAGAAGGTCCCCTGGCTGGAGACCAGAGGCAGACAAACCCTCGTACCATCGGTTTTTAACAGGGGCACGTTAACAGCATCGCCACAGGACCTGGGGGATTTACCAGCACCAGCAATTTTGCAGCCAAGAATGTTTTTTTCCTCAAAGCTGGGCTGCTCTGAGAGCTGAATGAATTGACAGATCTGAAGGCCCGTATTTATGCAGGAGATCACATCACATTAGTTCCACAGTCCCCTCTGACCTTGTACCTCTCAATCTCTTACATTCCCAGGATACTCATCATTGCAACAACTAACTGCTAAAATTAGAGTTGAGTTAGCGATTTAATTTCTTTACATATATGATAAAGTCTGATAGAAATCTGATCATTGGTATTATTATGAATTCACTGTTCTGATCACTCCTGCTCAAACAGTGCAGGGACTGAAAGTCTCAAGCAACAGATCAATGAAAATTATTAGAGGCCTGGGAAGATTTCTGTGGGAGGTGGAATTGAAAAGATTAGGACCATTTAGTTCAGAGAGAGGATAAAAAGAACGGACATGAAAAATCAACACAGCAGCAACAGCCAGGTAGGCACCCCAATTTTGCACATTTTGTGCCTGCAGAAAGCCCCACTGTGCCTTGCAGTTGGTCCCGTGGGTATTTATGGGATTGTTTCTGTTCACTAAATGAATGAGCAAAATCCTTCCAGCCAGGTCACCCTGACATCTGAAACTCACTATTTCCAGAAAGCTACTGTGTCAGGAAAACCTGGGCATGGAAATGCAAGTCAGGGGAGCCTGTGGAAAGGATCCAGCCAGTGGAGATGGCAGGCTCACGTGGGGGTCACCACGCTACCATCCCTCCTGGACAGGCCACAGGGCTGTGAGTTTGCACCCCCATTCCTGCAAGATGCGATCCACAGGGGAGGCTCCCCTCTTACCCAGTTTTCACAGAAATTCCTTGGATTCCAGGTGCTTGGGAGCTTCCTGGTCACTTGGGGCTGTTTCCCCTGATGCTTACCCAGTGCAGTGAGGAATGAGACACTTCTTAGCATGTCCCAGCTCTTGAGTCCCTTCAAAGTTCAGGACCTGGTGATGGCCTGGTCCTTACCAGGGGACATGGAGGGTTAAATGGCATTTCCAAATCAGCTGTATCCCTCTGCTAGTCCATCAGGCTGGCATTTTCCCAACAGACATGTTCTGTTTGCCTCATCAGCACTGACTTAGGGCTGAGATGTCCTTTCCCTACTCATCCCCTGACACCTGCCACAGTGACCCATGGTGGCCCATCCCACTGGGGTCCCCCTCTGCCAAGTTGCTTAATACTTACCCCATGTGAGGGATAGGTCATCCAGCCCCAGTCTCCCAGGATTGTTGACGTGTCTAGCAAGTTCACTGGAAAACACAGGAGCAAAAGCTGTGTTAGAAAGCTTTGTCCCCATCCCCAAGGACTGAGGAACAGAGCCACCATGACGAAGCCCTCTTCACTTGCCACTCCCTTGAAAACGCCTCCCACCCATCAGTCTTTCTTCAGGGACTGCCTGGCTGGATATGAAACAAGTATGGAGTTTGGGGATGGCAACAAGGGATGCTCCCCAGAGCTGGTGGTTCAGGATGGAGTTGAGTCCTGGCCCCAGCACTGAGAGCAGTGTGACCTTTTGGAGGAGAGGAAGCTGCAAACAGCAGGTTGGAGGGAATGCAATGCAAGGAAGCGTTGTGGAAACAAACTCCCTGCATCAGGTTGTCCACCAGTCCCACCTTGGGATAAGACTGATGCAACTGGGCATTGCAAGAGTCTTATCCTCAGCTGGACACTTCTACTCTGGAAGCCCTTTAGGCTCAGCTCCCTCTCAGCATCACTGGTTTGAAGTCTGCACTCCAGCAGCTGCTGTAATTGCGCACTGCAGTGCCCAGCTCCAGCACAAAGAGACTCCCCATGGTCCTGGCTGACACCCCACTGGAGAAGTCCATCAAAGCCAACCCCTCCCCACCAGGAGCCTGGCTTAAAGAGGAGAGAGAGGCAAACTGCAGGAAGAGGAGAGCAGATTGTGTGGGAGGAGAGGTGAGGATGCCTTCCAATGTGCTCAGAAGCTATGGAAACCTGTGCAGTGGCAGCAGTGGAGGAAAGCAGGATGCCATGGCACTGCTGCCTCTGAGCCATCTGAGCCCCACGCCCAGATCCCACAGCGTCAGGCAGAGGAGAGCCTTGCCTTGCCTGATAACCTCGAGTCACTCAGCACCTGGGGAAGGAGCCCAAGCCCCAGCTCCATGGTGCAGATCCAGCGGGATGGAGGCTTTGGGGAGGCTGCCAGTGAGGTGCCTTGACCCTTGGTGCAGCGGGCACCAGGACCCTGATGCCTCAGCACCCCCAAGAGCACGAGGCTCCCACAGGGACCCCAGTGCCTCCAGCTTTCCCCGTTCCCTTTATCCTGAAGCCACCCAGTGAGGTCAGTGCCATGGGAGGCATCATCCTTGCTGGCTGCCTTTCCTCACCCTTGAGGAGCACCAAACTGGACCTGGAGGCACCTTGTCACAGCATCCCTCTGCAGCAACAGGGCAGGGCTGGTCCCTGGGCTCAGGAGGGATGGTGGTCTTGTTGCCATGACCAGCTTGTCACAGCAGGGACAGGGCATATCAGGACAGTGTCTCCAGTCCCGGCAGAGCCTGGGCTCAGCATGAGGCTGGTTCCTGTAGCCCGAGGAGCTGGTGCCACTTTCATTTACTATTACCAGGCAGGGAAGGAGAGGGGAGGAGAGAGGAGCAGAGACGTGAGCTGGCTGTGAAACACCCGGACGTCATGCTCCTGACAGAGCAGATTAGGAGCTTTTGAGGCATTTATTAATGTTAGCAGAACAATTTGAAAGAATTTCCAGGGTTTCTTGTGTGGTTCCATTGGCCCAACAGCAGGCCAAGCCCCTCCACTCCCTGCGCAGCGCTGCTCCCACTGCTAAAGAGGCCCCTTGCCCTCAACACAGAGTAATTACCTCGGAGATCTCAAATCCATTTTTATTTGTTATTGTTAATCTGAAGATTTTCTGCCTATTTTCCCTGGGTAATTCACCCAGCAGGAGCCCAGGCTTGGGAGTTTCCCTGTTCACAGTGCAGGACCACAGTCCTGGTGACCCTCAGCAGGCAGGTTGCAAGGAGGGGACAGCTTTTGCAGACCCTCTCTCCCCCCCCCACCGTGGTCTCTGCACCCTCTTTCCCACGCTGGGATGCTCAGCAATGGACGTGGCTGCCTCCCACTGTTCTGCAGGCAGCAGGAGGAGCCTGCATGACTGGGGTCCAGTGGGAGCATCGCGTTATGAGGAATGATGCCGAGAGCACCTAGTGGGGTGTTCCCCAGACTTGTCTGCCAGCAGTGTGTGGGACCTGGAGCTGGCTTGCTACACCCCATCCCACCACCCTGACTGTGTGGTCATCACTCAGTCTCACAGAGATGTCATTATGACCTGAAGAAGTCTTCTCCTTTCAGTTGCTTTGGTTCCCAAACAACCTATGCCAGCTTGCATCCCACTCATTCCTCTGCGCAGGAAGAGGGATAAGTTTCTTTTATGCCCTCACTTCAGCCAAGTGTGTGGAGCCCTGCATTTTAAGCCCACACAGCAGGCACTGCACAAACACAAAGGCATTGTGTGTCCGAGAGCTCCTGTTAACTCGTGGGATGGCACACACGCCTGTGGATCCCAGTGTCCGTCCAGCAGCACTGTGACATGCTCCGATATGGGGACACCAAAGCTCTCCCAAAAGCCAGCTGGTTACAGCCCAGGTTACAGCCCAGCTCTGAGGGAACCTGCCACACCTCATGTGACAAGTGCCTGCTCAGCCCCGTGCAGTGGGCTCCCGGCTGCTCAGAGCCCGCCTTCGAAGCCACAGGGTGAGCAAGACCACCACAAAGGACCCCTTTCAGCTCAAACATTTTTCAGAAAATGTGCTGGTTTGGGAGACCTCTCTCCTACAGCTGGGCAATTCTCTTTGATGCTATGGACTGTCTGCGCGTATCAGTCTCAAACCGTGAGCTCCATTTTGTTTTCCTGAGCACCATTTTGTCGTTTCCCTATTCTGTGCCTTGGCCTTGCCTCGGCGTATTGAGCCAAAACACCAGGAGGTGTCAGGGGAAATTCTCGCCCTGGTGGAAAAGCTGTCAAGCCTGATTGCCCATTCAAATGTAAGCACCTAGGAGCGAGCAGGTCGTTTCCCAGCACAACTGGGGTCTGCAGATGGAGCCTCACGTAAGGCAGACCCTCATGCTGCATAAAGTTGCATCGTGCAATGGTGCATGAGTAGTGGACATTGCAGCCTCATACGTACAGACTACGCAGGAGTCACAGTGTGCAAATCAGTATATGATGTATGTATATATTGTATTCATACCTACATCTCTATTTTTGGATCTATATCTGAATCCATTTCCATACCCATATCTACCAAATTCTATATCCTGCTTGTGATGAGTGAGGGAGCTGAGACTGGGATTAGCATCCAGAGGATGTGCTTTTTACTTGGGACCATATATCTCTTGTCATATATCTATCTATATCTATATCTATATCTATATCTATATCTATCATCTCTATATCTCTATCTTATATATATTTATATAAATATCTATATTTGTATCATATCTATATCAATATCTATCTATATCTATCATCTACATCTATATCTATATCTATATCTATATCATCTATAAAGAGTGAGTGCTTAGATACCCTTCTGAACACTTTCACTGGTGGCCACAGCTCCTGCAGGGATGTATTGCATCCCTACAAACAGATGTGGGAGCACATTGGGGTCTCACATCCAAGCATCCTGGGCTCAGGAATAGGCTCGTGGTATCTAGGGGAGCTTGTGCATCTTCAGCCCACCCCGGATTCATGGCAGGGTGGTGGAACAAGCCTGGGGGAGACACACTGGTGGATGTGCTGAGTCCCAGCCTCTGGAAAAACAGTGGGGGACCAAAGAGGGCTCTGAGCACCCTCACTAATTGTTAACCCACTGTGGTCCTCCCTCTAATTACTCCACCATCTCCCTCTTAGGCAGGGGCTTTGTAGTGCAGTCGTGGGGAGGAAGGGTCAGTGGGAGCAGCCCTGTTCCCTTGGGCTTCAGTTCCTCTCCATCACAACTTCAAAGGCCTCCCAAGATTCACAGCAAGGCTCCCCCCCCCATGCAACAATGCCTTTTGCATTGATAATTAAACTCTCACCAGCGCAGCTTGGCTGCTCCCCACTACCCAAAGACCAGCAGGCTCAGCTCCACCGCTCCAAGCAGGTCTGCACAGCCCACACCAGTCCCACAGCCCCAGCCCCTCCTCATGGGGAATGACACAGGGAGGTTATCCACAGTGGGAAGAAAGTGCGAAAAGGGCAGCAAGAGGCTTCCTGAGAGGAGGGGAACAAGAGCCAGTGGCATTAATTTCTCACAATGTGGGGCAGAACTTGGAAGGGGCAGGTGGGGCAAGGGTGGCTCAGCTATTTGTGTCCCACCATTTAATGCAAGGGCCGGCTGAATAGGCAGCCCTGACCTTTCCAAATCGGGGGGGCAAAGCTGAGACACAAAGTCAAGTCTTACTGGCCTTGGAACATGGCAAGAGGACAGGATGGGAAGCTTTGCTTTCAGCCTCCTGATCCCTGGGACAGTATTTATCTTTAAGGAGTGAAAACCAGCCATTTATTCCCCAACACACGAGGCCAATGGGTAGGGCTCAGAGGGAGGAGCAGCATGCCTGGCGGGCAGCTCAGCTCTCCCCTTTCGGGTGCTGTGTGCAGGGATGTTCCCCACAGATCGGGGTCAGCACTGGGTTGCTGCTCTGCCAGACCAGCAGCCAGATCCAGGCAGGATTTGTCCAGCAGCTGCTGATCCACAAGGCTGCACATACTAAGGACACAGCGGGGATGGGGCTACCCTTGGCACCCACCGGCCTTGGCTGCCCAGAGAAGGTTAGAAAAGCAGTGCAAGTAGATCCAGGAAATATCACCAAATCTGGCAGGAATTTTCGATTTCCACACTTCTAATGCCAGAATCAGGCTGGAAAACAAAACAAAATAAAACCAAAAAAAGGGCAAAAAATCAGAGAAGAAAAATACCAAAAAAACCAAAGGAAAAAAACCAAAACAAAAAAACCCAAACCAAACCAAACCAAACCACCAAAAAAACAAAACAAAACAAAACAAAACAAAACAAACAAACAAACAAACAAACAAAAAAACCCAAAACAAAACAAAAAAAACCCTAAAACCAAAAAAACCCACCAAGCTACAAAGAAACATTTTCAAATGAAAGCAGTGCTGCTTTTTGGCTGTGCCCTAATTCCCATTTCAGGATTTCTTCTCAGACCTCCAGATTGTTGCTGTGAACTTTCTGCATTTAATTTTATATCATTTTGTAATGCATCA